TTCCGCCTCCTGGGTTTACGCCATTCTCCTGCCTCAGCCTCCCGAGTAGCTGGGACTACAGGCGCCCACCACCTCGCCTGGCTAGTTTTTTTTTTATTTTTTTTAGTAGGCACGGGGTTTTACCGTGTTAGCCAGGATGGTCTCGATCTCCTGACCTCGTGATCCGCCGGTCTCAGCCTCCCAGAGTGCTGGGATTACAGGCTTGAGCCACCGCGCCCGGCCAGAAATAGTGTTTTTATAAGACACAGGGCCTCCCAGCAGGCTCGGCTTGGCACATGATGGGTGCTGCTAATTATTAGTTGAAGACAAACTTCTGTCCTGCGTGTTACAGCGGGAAGGCATCAGGCGAGGGCAATTACTATAGCTCCTCTGGCAAAAGGAATATTCTCCACCTGTCTCAAAGCACGCAGCTGTGCATTCAAGAGACGGGGCTATGGCAGCACAGAAAAGAGCAATTCAAATGTAAGCGCTTCAAGGGCAGGAGCTGTGTTCTTTTTTTTATGATGAAACCTTTTGTTGTTGTTCTTGAGACAGGGTCTTGCTCTGTTAGCCAGGCTGGAATGTAGTGGCAGGATCATGGCTCATGGCACCCTCACCCCCCCAGGCTCAATCAATTCTCCCACCTCAGCATCTTAAGTAGCTGGGACCACAGGTGCGTGCCACCATGACCGGCTAATTTTTCAATTTTTTTTTATTTTGTAGAGATGGGGTTTACACCATGTTTCCCGGACTGGTCTTGAACTCCTGGACTCAAGCAATCTGCCCACCTTGGCTTTCCAAAGTGCTGGAACTACAGGCATGAGCCACTGCGCCTAGCCCTATGGTTAAACTTTTTAAAACGTCTTTACAGTCTGAGAGGTGACTGATTCATACTCCAAAATAATGGCCTCAATGTAGCTTGTCTTCCAGTTCAAGAATTACGTTGCCGATTCCTATCGTCAGAGAATGAGGGGAGGGGTGGAGGCATTCACCAGGCTCAGCCTCTGGTGCTGCCTACAGGGGCCCTTCTCGGTGGCTCCTGACCCCAGCTCAGGAAGGGGTCCCGTGCTCACCTTTGAGTGCTGTCTTCAGCAGCTGCTGCGTCTCTGCATCAAAGGACTGAATTTTATACTCCTCTCTACTGGGCTCCCCCATGACTAGCCAGCCCCAGTAGCTCTTGACTGGGCTGGGACTAAGGACAGCACCTGGGGAAGAGAAGAGGCGAAGCGAGCGGCCTCAGGTGTGGAGCGCAGGGCGGGTTCCGTCCTGCAGACCCTGGGCGGGGCTGACGGCGCTCGGACAGGGGCTCCAGGGCGGTCCGTGGCGTGCGGTGGTTGGCTGACGGCCCACCAGGCTTGGCTTCTGGCGGGGACTGGGCATCAGCCAGGCACCTGCTGCTCAGTTTAGAAACCCCTTGCTTGTGGGATTACACAAGAGCGAGAAGCTGAAGCAGGAAAGCGCCCACCCTCCAGTCCCAGCGGGAGGCAGGAGTGGACTGGGGCAGGGTGTGTGCGGGCGGACGTTACGGTTGCTTAAATAAACCGGCCTGACGCTGCTGGCCCAACAAGATGCCGGGTGAAGGCCAGGCTGGGAACTCCAAGCGGTGCGACTCTGTCCCCAGCAGGGCTCCAAGGCCCTCTCCCCAACCCTCCGTTTCTGGCTTTTGCCTAGTCCTTCGGTCTAAACACCCGCCGCTGCATCCCCCGGATGGGGCCGGCCTGCGTAGGTAGGAACGCAGGCGCCCTGTCCGCCCCCTAGACCCAGGCCAGCTTCTCCCCGGGACAGACTGGTGGGACCGGCTCCCGAGTGGCTGTAACCCGGCCTTACTCACTCGAGACTCCTAATTCCTAAGCTCCATTATGGAGCTTTCCTCTTACAGTGGGGGGCAGGATGATGCGCCCCCGAGAGGTGGCTCCCGCCGGAGGGTCCCCTCTGGCCATAGGAGGCGCCTTTAGGGTCTCCAGCCCTCGACCGCTCCCCCCGTGCCCAGAACGCCCCTTCCAGCAGCACAGGGCGGACTGCGTAGCCCACGGCG